GTGAGTGTCCAGGTGGCATAGCAGGTCATTAACTGTTTCCTGCTGGATTATGGGAGCTTCATTCTGCTCTCCATTCCCATCTTCCAGCTCAGGGGGCTGAATACCCTGGGGATAACTGGTCTGGCTGTTAAAGACAGAGGCAAAGAAGGCATTAAGTACTTCAGCCTTTTCCTCATCCTTGGTGGCAATGTTCCCCCCACATCCAATAAAGAATGGAGATTCTCCTTGGCTCTCTTTTTGTCCTTAATGTATTTGTGGAAACATTTTTTTATTCTCTTTTACAACAGTGGCCACATTGACTTCTAGCTGGGCTTTTGCCTTTCTAATTTCCTGTCTGCATGACCTAACAAGATTCCTGTACTCTTCTTGAGTTGCCTGCCCCTTCTTCCAAAGGTGGTAAACTGTCCTTTTTTCCCCTGAGTCCCAGCTAAAGCTCCCTGTTCAGCCAGGCTGGTCATCTTCCCTGCCAGTTTGTGTTACGGCACATGGGGACAGCCCACTTCTGCACCTTTAAGACTTCCTTCTTGAAGAATGCCCAGCCTTCCTGGACCCCTTTGTCCATCAGGACTGCCTCCCAAGGGACTTTCCCAACCAGCGTCCTGAATAGGTGAAAGTCTGCCCTCCAGAAATCGATGGTAGTGGTTTTGCTGGCCCTCCTCCTTACTTTGCCGAGAATTGAAAACTCTATCATACCATGGTTGCTAAGCCCAAGATGGCCTCTGACTACGACATCTCCCATGAGTCCTTCTCTGTTTGTAAACAGCAGGTCAAGCGAGGCACTGCCCCTGGTAAGCTCACTTACCAGCTGTGTCAGGAAGTTATCTTCCATACACTCCAGGAACCTCCTAGACTGTTTCCTCTCTGCTGTCCTGTATTTCCAGTAGATGTCTGGCAAATTGAAGTCCACCATGAGAACAAGAGCTAGCGATTGTGAGACTTCTGCCAGCTGCTTATAGAATGCTTCATCTACCTCTTCATCCTGGTTGGGTGGTCTGTACCATACTCCCAGCAGGACGTCTGCCTTGTTGACCTTCCCCCTCATCCTTACCCATAAGCACTCAACCTGATCATCACAATTGTTGAGCTCTATACAATTGAAACACTCCGTAACATACAGAGCCACCCCACTGCCTCTCCTTCCCTGCCTATCCCTTCTGAAGAGCTTATAGCCATCCAATGCAGCACTCCAGTCATGAGTCATCCCACCATGTTTCTGTGATGGCGACCATGTCATAGCTATCCTGCTGCACAATGGCTTCCAGCTCCTCCTGCTTGTTGCCCATGCTGCGTGCATTGATGTAGGTAAGTAGATGAGTCAAGAAAAGCAAATTAAAGAGCAAAGTTGTACAGCATTTTCTTTTCATTTTGTTGTTGTTGTTCAAGTGCAGTGGTGACTGACCTAGTGGCCACTTAGCTGTCTAACAACATTTATTCTGGAGCAAAAGCATCATACAAAATTGTTGTAAAAATAAGCAATCTAAATACACACCAAGCTTTTTCAGATAGTTTCTTACACATAGGCCAGGTGCACATTTTTCAATTACTTGTTCCAATTTGTCTCCCTGACTATGTGTCCTCTTTGCATCCCTCTCCTTCACTCATCATCTTGTTTACATTTAGTAATTAATTCTGGTTGAGTAATTTCTTTTGTTCAAGATATGTGGACTTGCTGCCTTCCAAGAATTTAGGTATTTTTGTATCACCATTTCAGTGGAAGATGGTAGCATAGGGACAGAAGTGTCTCTGCGCATTCCACAGGATTTTTCACATCCTGTGTGCAATTTAAATCTTTCCAATATCTCCATTTGGTTATTGCTGCTTATAATATGCCTGTCTTGTATCTAGCATGATTTTTTCTTAAAATGTTTCAGTTGTTTGAAATACCATTAAAACAAAAATTAAAATTTGAGAAATTAGAACTCTCAAAGGTATTACCAGGTAGAGTCTTTGATCTGAATCTTGGAATTTGAGAGACTTGCAAGGACAGGAGCAGAGCTGCTGTGAGGTCTTATTCAGTAATGTCTTTCTTTGCTTATTCAGGTGGAGGCCCTGCAAGCTCAGATAGAAGAACAGACACGATTATCCAAGGAACAGGTTGAGGCACTACTAGAGGACAGGCGGATTCACATGGAGGAAGCCCAGGTTCAGCATCAGAGGGACCAGGACAGGATCAAAACTATAACAGATAAGTGAGTGTGAGAGAATGACCATGATGTAGTCATGCGATGAGAAAAGAGGGGAATGTCCTGGTTTCAGCTGGGATACAGTTAATTTTCTTCCTAGTAGCTGGTACAGTGCTGTGTTTTGGATTTAGTATGAGAATAATGCTGATAACACACTGATGTTTTAGTTGTTGCTAAGTAGTGCTTACTACTTAGTCAAGGACTTTTTCAGCTTCCCATGCTCTGCCAGGTGCACAAGAAGCTGGGAGGGGGCACAGCCAAGACAGCTGATCCAAACTGGCCAAAGGGCTATTCCACACCATATGATGTCATGCTCAGTATATAAACTGGGGGGGTTGGCCGGGGGCAGTGATTGCGGCTCGGGAACTGGCTGGGCGTGAGTTGGTGGATGGTGAGCAATTGCATCACTTTTTTTTCCTGGGTTTTGTTTCTCTCTCTCTTGTTCTCCTTTTCATTACTACTACTACTACTATTATTATTATATTCCAATTATTAAACTGTTCTTATCTCAACCCATGCGTTTTCTTACTTTTGCTCTTCTGATTCTCTCCCCCATCCCGCCGGAGGGGATGGTGAGCGAGCAGCTGTGTGGTGCTTGGTTGCTGACTGTGGCTAAACCACAACAGGGAACAATAGAAATATTTTGGCTTTCAGTATGTTGCTTCCTGCAGCAAGCAGAAAAGCAAATTATGCAGCCGTCTGTTTGGTAGTGTGTGTGGAAGATGATGAATGGAGTAATCTACATATTAAAAATCCTATTTTATATTGGAAGAATATCACTTCTTTCATTAGACGAGAAGAGCTAAACTCGTTAGGAAAGCGCCTATCTTTTTCTTCCATGCTTCTTCCAACTTGCAATGATGACTGAGAAAATTAAGGTAGAAACTAGCAAAGAAGTTAATTAACTCCACTGGGATCCCTTTTACAGGCTTCATAAGACCCAAAATCTCTTATATGAGAGTACCCGTGACTTTCTTCAGCTCAAGTTTGATGCCCGAGCCAATGAGAAAGCATGGATGGCAGAGAAGGACAGTCTGTTGAGGAAACTTGACAAAGATCTGGATCAGCTTATTATCAGCAGGGAGCCAGGAAGAGAGAAGAAGCAGAGAGATACCAAGAAGATGCTTAGAGCAGATGATGGAGCTTGGAAACTCCACAGCAGAGAAATAAAGGTAATTTTTCTTGTGCTAGGTAGAGGCTCTTTAACAGTTTTTTACTAGAAAATTGCAAGCATCTGGGTTTTGCCAAGATAGGCAGTAGCTAGCAGCTGTTTCAAAGCTACACTGGCTTGCCATAAATTACGTTGTTGGTGATGCTAATGTGAAAAGACCTCCTGCCTCAAAATCAGCATTGCTTGCAAATTTCAGATAAAATGTATAGTTAGGATTTATGGTAGCATTTCACTGACAGTTTCTTTTATGCCCAGAACAAATCCCTACTTCTGCAAGCCACATGATGTGTGGGCCAGTAGTCCTTAACCTGCTTGTTGCACATGCCTTTCTTTTCGTGCAAATGCTCTCAGCTAATGGACTGAGAATGCAGCATCTGTATCTTCCTTGCTGCTCTCAGGGCAGAGTAAGTCCTTTCAATTATGTCCTCAGCTCTTCTACAGCAGTCAGGATTTTTCGTCCACTTCTAGTATACTTCCAGTGAGCAGCTGGGAGATCTGAAGTGGGTAAACAGGCAATAAGGAACTGTAAGGTAAACAGGCAACAGGAATTGTTTTCATCTACGACTGAATGCAGATGCTTCTGAAATGCCGTACTGGGCAAGCAGCTGTGAAAAGGGGAATTACAGCCTTAGTTGAGTATTATTTTTTAAGAGGAAGAGGAAAGAGTTCTTGTAACTGACAATTGAACAGTCATGCAGAATTGCTAACCTAATTAAAAGGTTTTGGTAATGGAAGTGGTGTTAGAATATTGTCCTTGCCTAGTTATTTCATTAGCTGTAGCTCCAGTTGTTAATTTTTATTTGCCTGTCATATTATCAATCTATCGTACCTGCTATTCCAGAGCAGGGGAAATTTTGTGAGCACTGGCTTTTGAGTTAATTCTTTCTGTTCCTCCTATGTCCTAGTCACTGCAAGAACAGCTAAGGCAGGAACAGCGCCTATCAAACATGTATAGAGAGCAGTGTGTCACCCTGGAAGGTGAGCTGGCTAGGATTCGTGAGGAGGGAGATGCTGGCAGAGAACTCTCTAAGGTAATTAGTCTGTTATCATCTGCTAGCTATGTGGTGATCTTGCAGCCTTTATTTTGTAGACCTTATGGAGTTTTCATCTCCATAGGAACGCTCAGAAAAGATGGGGAAGCGCCTGAAGCTGATGACTCAGCGATATGAGGCCTTGGAAAAACGTCGTAATATGGAAGCAGAAGGCTTCAAGAATGACATTAAACAGCTTCGGCAGAAGCTGAAAGATGTAGAGAAGCAGCTTTTTAAGGTAATAGCTAAGAATTTCTGAGGCAGGCTGTTATGGGCTTACCCTATAGAGATGTATTCTCAGTATTTAAATGCAATATTTCCCTAGAGTTAAGGAAATAATTTCTTTCCTAAGTGCTTCTTTAGATATTAATATTTGACAAAACTTGCCCTCTTACATATTTTATGAAGCAAAAAAGATTTGTCTTTGTTAATCAGTCAGGCATCAAGCTTGCCAGGAACTGTCCTGATTATACACTAGCTGTATATTTTTGTTGCAACTCTGAAAGTTCTTATCTGATACCTGTAGCTCACTTAGATGTCTCAAAATTGCAAGGCAGCAAAGTAGTTTGTTTCAGAAGTATATCCTGCAAAGAAAATGATGATTTGTTTTCTCTCTGGGGGCCATAGGGACATAGTGTTTGGCTTTGGTCCAGTAAGAGGTAGATTGCTGACTTAAGTATTGTGAATATTCTATTTATTCCTTTGTTAGTATTTTGTTATTAGTATTCCTTTGTTAGTCATTTGTAACTCTGCAAAAATCACTGTAGAAACCATGGCTGGAACTTGAAGCTGTGTACTCTGTAGTAGCTTCCAGATGTGTTGATGAACATCAGAACAGCTTAGAAGAGAAGCCACAGCCCTGATGTTGCTTGGAGTTTAGGATGAAATGTTTATCTAAGATATGCTTGAGAGGATGAGGCATAGCTTTTGTCCAACCAGCTCTCTTTAAGGAGTCTGGCAGTGCCACCAATTCGCTTGTTTTCTCTTCTTTGGGCACACAGTTCAGTTTACTTAAGAGTAACGCATTTTTCTTCATTAAAGGCTTTGATATTTTTTTTTTGTTTTAGTTTTTGTTGGGCTGTGGGTTTTTAAATTTTATTCTTTAAGGACTAAACAGCATATGTGAATGGGGGAAAAATTGCCTATGATACCTTTACTACAGACCTGTATGTTTTGTAACTGTGGGTGTGCTCTTAACTGTATTCTTAATTTCTTTACACTTTTAACCACAAGAGGGCAGAGGAATAAAATACTTGCTAGAAGTCTCCAGCGTGATCTTTAAATCGTTCTCATCACTTGAGGTCAAAATGACTACAGATGACTAAATTTCCTGATTTGCATATTAAAATCTTTGGCCAAGAACTACATGATGACGACAAGACACCCTAAAGGGTCAAGAGAAAAGAGGGCTTTCAGAGCAGCTTCCAAGGCTGTGCTGCTCTGCCGTTGAAAGTGACTGGGCTGGCATGCTGTGCAGTTCCAGGGTGACAGGAAACGGCAGCCCTGGCTAGCTTGCCGTCAGGAATTCTGATTATCCGGCAGCCTTTGTTCAGCTCAGTACGGGCCATATGGCATGGCCTGAGACTAGGCGCTGTACTTGAACTGCTCTTGAGTCGTATGCAGTTCAGAAGGCAGCAGGTTGGCCGCAGCAGTTGAACCACCTCTAGTTCTAGTAGCAAAAGGTGACAAAATGTCATCAGGTCAGGTGAGGTACTTAGAACTACATAAAAGTTGGTTGATAAATATTTTAACTTGCCTTTTCTTGTGGGTCTCTGGTAAATAATACAGGAATTAAAGGAGTCAACAAGTTATGGGTAAACATGATATTCCATCCAGATTTCTTCCTCGCCAGTAATATAACACCATAATGTATGAAACCTTTGTTCTTTACATTTGGTTCTGGAGCACCTTTCTATTGGTGATGTGCATTAGCCTAGTGATATTAGCTTAAGCATCCTCTTTGCTAGCTACAAAGGGTCTCCTTTAGAGTTCTCTCCCTCATATCCTCGTTATAATACTCTCTAAACTGTATTCTGTACAGCTTTGTTTTTCTTAATCTGTTTTTCTTTTCCTTTTTAGGTGACTCTGAACATTGGACCAGACCAGGATCTTGCAATTCTACATGAGCTCTGCCAAGGAAACAGACTAACCCGTAAAATTCAAGGAGAACTAAAAAACTTAAAAGCAAAGATCTATGGCTTAGAGAATGAACTACGGGTCTGCTGAAGCTGGCATCCTAGTTTTAGGAATGGGACGTTGCTAGGCTGGAATAATCGTATGAGAGAGCAGCTCCTGCCTGTCTGTTTCCTGGCATCCAGCAACAGAAGGCTTGAGGAAATCTGCAGTTAATGTCATAACATTGTACATGAGCCATTCCTAACGTGCCAGATTATATTGCTGTTTCAGTTGAGAGATGGCACCTGATAAGACTGACATAGAAAGTACATGATGACTGCTGTATCAGGAATATGCTTATGACTTCATCTTACCTTCATATCTGTGGTAGGGGTCAGTGTATACTGGCCTTCACCTTTATTTGAAGCATATTGGAAACCACATATATGATTATAATGAGATTAATAATCATGGAAGGATCTAGTTCAAGATCTGAATTGCTTGACTGACCTTTTCCTATGTGGGAAGCAGCTTTTAAAATTGTTTAAATTATTACTGTTTTGGTGCTTAGGCTCTTCAGGATGTAACAGGAAATTTTCTTTGAAAAAGACCATGTATAGAAAGTACGTACTGAAGTGTGTTACATCTGACTCTCCCCTTGACAGTGTAACTATTTTAAAATGGCTTCCCTTTGCTTGGTTCTAACCTAATTGGGACAAACCTGACTGATTTAATATGGTGGAAAAAGATAACCTGTTACAGAACTAATCTGCAAGAACCAGCAACATCTACACTTGTTTTGAATGTCTGGGGCGGAGGGAAACACTACACTATCGAGTGTTGTCTTCTTGTCCCCTTCCTCCCAGTGTATCTTAACACACAGAGGAAGCCCGTAATAAAAGGCATCTAGTATCTTCCTTAACCACCATATTATCTATCTTTGTAGCTTTAAACAATATCATGGTTATGTACCAACAAATCATGGTCAACTTCTGCTACAGCAGTTGTTGCTACTGAACCATAACTGAAATTGGGGTGGAAGAGCAGGTGCCTAGTTGCTACATGATAAATATAACTCTAGCTATATGATGATTATCTTCATACCAGACATCAGGACATCACAGTTCTAGAAAACAGATGAAATCATGAAAAGGGTTACAACATGGCTTCAGCCCAGTTTGTAATTGCAGGTATTCACGCTTTTCCTGTAGCATCAGCAAATCTTGTCCACCTTGTAGACTGAGAGCAGATCTGTGTTGGAAAAGGGATTTCAGTGCCTGTTTCCTACTGTACCTTTCCTACCTTGTTAAATGTGACAGAAGCGGAATAATACCTTTCTGAAGTATATACCTATAGCCTGCCAGCACTTCCTTCCCTGTTGAACTTAGTGTGTGAAAGCAGGCAGTTTCTTTTGGACATGGTAGTGGCCATGGAGAGAGATCCTCATTCAGTGTTTGGGAGAGGTAGATAGACAAAAGATGTTTCTGTGCTGTCAAGATTTGGCGACAGAATTGTTTTTATAGCACCAGCTAAAGCAATGCAGGGGGGGAAATCCCCTTAAGAAGTCAAGGCCCACTTCAGTTGTGTATCCTTTTTGTGACAAGCTTGCTGTCCCTTATGGTCCTTATGCAGCTTTTATTTTGTATGTGTTCTTGAGGTCAAATTCATTGCAAACAGACTTTAGTGTGGGTGGCTGGCAGTCTGTACCTAAATACTCAACTACTACTACAACTTACAAGAGGCTGTTTTAAAGTATGTTGCACTGATTAGTTTAGCTGAAAATGCTGAACTGTTCAGAAACTGATTCATGAACAACTTGGGTGCCGATGCTATGTGGACAGTTCAGGAAGGTTATTAAATAATGCTACCCATCATTTAATCTCACTTTTTCTTAGTTGACTAGTACATTCTCAGGTAAGTCTAGCTAATTGAAGTGAGTTTGTATGTGAAATAACATGCTACTGGTTTGAAGATAAGATATCAAAGTTATCACAGGTCTTGGAAGGCTGCTTCTGAAAATTACTGCGTAATGAAGTATTAGCCACTTAATCAGTAGGATCCATCTACTTAAATTCAGCTGATGGGAAGCTAGCAAAAAGGTCTCTTGAGCCTATAGAAATAAATGGGTTTCTGTTTATTTTCAACTCTTCCAAGCTAAAGAATTGCCTATGAAATTATATTTTCCTCACTTGAAAGCCACAAAGCATGTCTGGATAAAGACTGTAGGCCTTGACATTCAGGTCTCTAAGATTGGGAGGAAGTATTGGGGGAAGAAGGATGTAAATGTTTAATTTCCTGTCTTCCTTACCAGTATTCCTTATTACTTGAAAGACTGAACAGAATAAAATGAAAACATTCCTGATATATCTGCTGGTGTGTCAAAATCAAAGTGCAGCTTGAACTTTATTCTTAATTTGTCATTACGCTATGAACCCTTCCTATGTGAGGGAGTGGTGGTGGGGGAAAATTACAGTAGTGCTGATCTGTAAATCCATATTATTTGGAAACTTGAATGTTTGTCCAAGGGCAGAAAGTGCAAAGTACTGTACATGCTCTTTCCATGTGACATCATGTGACCATGTGAAATGTCGCTTTATGTTGCCAAAACAAATGTGGACCTTCAAGCCAAGAACTGCTTTAAAAAGCCAAGTGATTTCTACCACTGACAGCTACCTTTTAAGGTGTCAGTATTGGCACTTCCAAAAGGGTTTCCTGGGAAAGGTTCCAAGACCTATATTAATCAATTTTGTTCCACAGTTTTTGGGTAGAAAACAAAAAAATGGCATTTACTCCAAAGGCTGATTAGCTTTTTTTGCTAATTGAAGTTAGTAATGTGTGACTTGAATCATTTCAATACAACTAAATGCCAGGTTATATATGTAGGAGCACAGAATTTGAAAGATCTCCAGAATGGCTCATTCTAGCAATATGGAGACTATCCCACAGAGCATTAAAGGTTATAACTGGACAAACATTGTGAGCAAAGATACTAACATGTTTCTTGCATAAACAGGAGAAAAATGAGCAGTAGGGGAAAACTTTATTGTTGTGTAGCCTTATTTAGGTAAGGAAGGAGTGCATACATTTCAGAAAGGATGTTGAAATATTGGGTAAGGCACGGAACCACAGATGATTCAGGAGAAGAGAAAAGGTTGTGCAAGAGCTCATAGAGCTACATTAAAAAGACTGATTACTATACATGTATCTTGAAGATGAAAAACTACCAAAGGCCACTCTATCCCAGCAGAGAAAGGCTGAGCAAGAACCAGTAGCCTGAACCTGAAGTTGTTAAAAAAAAAAAAAAAAAAACCCACATTTTTAACAGGAGGATTGTGCTTTTTCCCTCATTATAACAAACTAATTGTGGACGTAACAAATTCTCCATCTCTATCTTCAAATAAAAAAATGATTGCACCTCTGGAGAAGGTAGCTTGTTTTAATAAGTTGCTGGTTTTGACACATTAGAACTTAATGAAATATAATGATGCGAACTAACAGGAAATCATTTAATGGTTCCTTCTGGCTTTAAACTTGTGATTTATTTATATGCAATATTTGTAGGAGTTTTGCAGCACTCATGCAGTTGCCTTAATTATAGGAATGTATGCTGCGTCAGCTCACCCTACACAGCAAGGTTACACAAGGTAAAAAAACCAAAATAAAATTAAAAAAATCCCTTATGATCTTCCTATACCACAACTTGCAGTAATTCCCAAATTAATTGACGCTATGACTGCACTTAGAAAGGCGAATTAACAGTAGCCACAGTTCTGCTAGCTGTCAGAATAAATCTAAATAATAGTATAGTATATACTTGTATGCAGTGGCTGTACTTAAATTGCTTACATAAGTAGCCGTGTCAGTTCAGAAACATGCACGTTTTACCAGTATGGATGGACTCTGTGAGCAGCCTAATATACTGGAATTGTAATGTCTCTCTACGTAGACCAGGAAGTAATTCTTTGATAATCAGATACTTTTTTGAGACTATCTGGGAGTAACATCCCTGTGTACTTTGTTCTGGTAGATCTGTTCATATTCATGAAAAGCTGTGTCGTTCAGACTTTTCATTACAGCTCACAAACACATTTAATTCTGCTATACTAGAATGTATTTGTGCCTGCTCGGTCAAAATCGTAATAAAGATGTCTCATTTGTCCCCCATGCAAAGTGGCATCGTAGGTCATTTGTATATAAGGGGCGTTTTAAGATATTTGTTTCTAGTTTTTCCACAATATCTTGCTTTTATATTCCTGAGTTGCTTTGAATTGTAAGAAATATCCTCTTTACTCCCTAAACAGTTATTCTTAAATTTGCAGGTCTAGCTGTATACACAATTTTTTAGCATGTGGACTGGGACCATGTACCAAAACATACTTAGATACAGCATAGAATGCGTGAGAGGTGAAAGCTGTAATGATTCCTTTTGGCTGCTGTATTCATAGCATTTAGGCACAAAGTTTGTTTCGATTCTTACTTTGCATCAAAAGTTTAGGACTTTCTGTCTGAAACGGGCCAACAGAGGTAACTGGAATTTAACCCACTAGCAGGAAACGTTTCTGCTATGACTGAAGTATTTGAGAAGAGTGGGGTAGACTTCTGATATTTATTTCCCATTTAGCACCAAATGAACTGTTTGGAGAAAGGGCGTCTTTGAATACGAGTTAGAGTGGCTGCCCTTCAAGTAAGCTCCAAAAATATAGCTTTATAAACAGAGCCCTCAATGGGGTTGACTATTCACTTACACTGAGTAAATTGCATGGTTTAAGAATTGCAATGCTGTTGGATTGCGGACAGATTACAAATATGTAAATACAGATTATTTGTTTTTATTTAGAAAACCCAGAGAGGCTTTCAACACAGAAGTGTTTCAGTGTTAAAGCAAGACAATGATTTACTGAGCAGGCATGAAGGGTTTCATTGTTGAAATGGGTTCAATTTGAATAAAAAGCTCTAGATTTACCCTAGTGAAGCATGTCAAGGATGTGTTGGGTTCTCCTGTATTCATTCAGAGATCAAATTGCCTTTCTTTCACTGTAAACATTGATCTTGGTATAGTCACTTCTAAACTGTCCAGTAAAACAGTTTTTTTCCTCTTCAGAGCTAGCTTG